GGCGGGCTGTGTGTTCTTTGTTATTTGCTCATCTGTGGGCACGATACTTTTCACCTCCTTCTCCAATGGGCAGGATCAGTCACTCAGGTATGGTACAGTAGGGCAGTTCCAGCTGAAGGAGAGTTGCTGGGATAGGTTTTTTGTGGCACGGACCAGGGCTGACAGTACGGACTGGGAATCAGTGCAGGGCAGGTTCCAGTAGGCCGTGCCTGTGCTGCTTTGGAGTGTGATGTTCAGTGCATGGTGCAGGTAGGCAGTAGGCAGGAAGGAGGGGGTAGATTGTGATGTGTGGAGCTAAGATGGGTATGGGAAAGATGAGAGAGAGGAGAGAGGAACAGGAGCCTAAAACATACATATAAACAAAAAAAGAGTGCTAAGCGAGCTTGCTATTGGAGTGGAGAAATGAGAGACTGAGAAATGGGGAAAAACAAAAATGAAAGAAAAAAAAAGAAAAAGGTGAAAAAAATGAATAAATCGAGAAACTGGAAATGAAGAAAGATGAAAAGGGAATAAGAAAGAGAAGAAAACTAAACAAAGAAATGAAAAAACAAACAAACAAAACCAAGAAAAAGAAAAAAAGACAAGAAAAAAGAAATGCCCCCAGGGATGTCCCTGTGTGTATGCACAGAGTAAGGGACTAGCTTCCAAGCCGGTACCAAGTGGTACTGCTTGGTTAGAAGGGTCTCCCAAGCCGAGAAAAGAAGAAAACATGCAAACAAATGAAAACAGAACAAATCAGAGCAAACAAGCAAAAAAGCCCCAGGGGTCCCACCAGCGTGGCAGCACGGGCCGGGAAGCAGTTTCACAATTGAGCAATGTTTTGCAGACCATCAGGAAGAAGCAAAGATGGCGCATGGAGCCAGGTATTTGAGAGAAAGGAGGGGGAGGTGGTGAGAGGTAAGGAAGAAATCTAAAGAAATGGAAAAAAGCAACACCAGCAGCCAACAAATGGCACTCAGGGCGCTGGCCAGTGCAGGCAGGTGGAATCCAAGCGGCACTGGGGGGAAGCTTGTACTTCCCGGCCAATAGACTGTGGCTGCAGGAAGCAGAGGAGGCTAAGTGGGGATGAAGAAGGGTGAGGAGTGGGAAAGCCTATATTGTGGGTTACCAGTTGTTCTGTCTCCTGCTGGAAGCTCCATGAAGCTGTTTTCTCCTACCTCCTGTTCACTGATCTACGATAGGAGTCCAAGATGGCGGATCCATGCTACGGTAGCTGATAGGGGACCTCTGTATGTATCTCTCCTTGCGCTCTGTTCTCGGTCAGTTTCTTATTCCATTCGGTGCTAGGCTGAGTTCTTTCTCTCTTCATTTGATGCTTAGGGTTTCAGGATTGACGTGTGACTCTGTTTGACTTAGTTTTTCTGATCTTCGCCACGGAGGGACGGTGTGGTGCTTCTGACTATAGAGCCATGTTGCTGGAAGTCTTGATGAAGTCTTTTGATGAGCATAAGTATTTAATTTTTAGAAGATCCTGGTAATCTAGCTTATCTTCTGGGGTTTGTCTGTTGTTGGTTAAATTTCTTTCTTTTTTTTTTTTAAGAAATTGGATCAAAAGAGTTTTGAAAATAAAGGGGTTAACAACAACAACAACAGCAAATTGTAGAGACAAGCTTTATAGCTGGGATGAGAATCCCAGCTTTAGGTTCAGGTGGAAATGTAGATATGGGGGTAGACTACTCCTAGGAAGTGTTCTCTCTAGCCAGGAGGAAACCCCCAGGCCCAGGTGGAACTTAATGTTACTCCAAGCAAGTGCTTCAGGTATATGGTCCCGGGCATTGATCTACTGACCAAGCAT